AAAAGATACAGATCCCTGGTGTATAAAACATATATCCGCCAATACCGAGTCTCTAATTTTTTTTTACTTTTGTCGTTGTAACTGCTTTTTTTTTTTTTTACTAAATACTCTTGCCTCACATTATACAAGACGTCTGAAAGCATCAAATATTTCTGCCCAGTTCTTTCATGTAAATATTTGATTGTTTTAAGTTTCAAGTAAATTTGATAAACGATATTCATACCTTACGTTGATTTCTTTCCTTAATTATACGAGTCAGGTATGTCTATTCATGTCAAGTATATATTCTGTTAACAAGGTACAACTTACAATAAACACAAGAAATTGCTACAGGTCTATAGTTTTCTGATTGGTGTACAGAACATTTCCTGTATAATAATAGAATTCTTAAATAGTTTTGATAAGTATTCTTGGTTTAAAATTGACGTCTAGCATATCTGGGCACCGTGTCGTCACTTTCTTCTGTTATTACTGTAAATCTTTTCATGGCAATTGTTTTGAGATCTCCTGTATAGAAATTAGGGTTGTTAGCGTTATATGTTTTGTTTTTAGTTTCTTTCTTCAGAGTTAACACAGCACGGGGATGTATGCTCATGGGCGTCTTTTATTTCTGCCCCAACTTTCTTTAGATTAATAGCACCACTCATCCCCCTTTAAGTAACCGGACCATGTCAGTTTTCTGGTGGATGCGTAACGTCTTTCTTATTTCTGGTGTGATTTTCATATTTGTTTTTATTGAATGAATGTGTGTTTGAGTGAGTGGTAGGACGAATGAATGTTTTCAAATTATTAAAGTCCGCATTAATTTAATTCAGTTAAGTGACATTTCTGCCACAATTAAAAATTGTGGGTCGTTATTACTAACAATGTTTCATTTAGTTTCTTGCAAAGACATTTTTCTTTTTCCCATTAGAAATACTCATTGCCGTTAAAGTTTTAAATTGTTGTTTTATTTGCCTCCCCACCACAGACAAAAAATTGTACATATGGGGACTAATTAAACCTTCATAGAGATTCAAATGTATTATGGTGGATGTTGTAAGAAAGGTATGTAAGAATATCTTGTTTTGGTGTAAGGAATATTGCGGTATATTTGGGTCAGTGATTTTGGTTAGCTAAGTTTAATTATAAGAAAGAAGCAGACCATTCTTTTACTATTAACCCTTTCGGCCTTGTGTTTGATTTTCGTATTCACACAGAATAAATATCACTCCCCTCCTTGGTATCTGGACTGCAAAAATTTAAGCCTACTACTAGATTAGCAATTAGGTCCCATCATATTACTGATATAACTAAATGTAACTATACGTTCTATTTTGATAGGTCATTTTCTCGCATTTCTTGACTTTGAAAGACTCTTCCCCTTTCTTGCTTCCCTGACACATACAATCTTCAAAAATTTCAATTTAACATCAATCACCATCTTCTGTCTTCTTCAATCCTCTAATTTTATTGTCTATTCTCCCCACTAACGTTTTTCTTTTTCATTCTATTTTACACTTAGTAATCCCTGGCGTCTTAGTGACATCACTGCATTACTTGAGATGAAATGATTAAAAACAATGTTCATTCTGTTTTAAGACTACTTCCTGGTGCATAGAATTCACAGGATTCATCTGTAGAACATTTCTGTTAACTACTGTTTCTTCTTCATCTACAAGAAGGTATATAAATAGGTGAACTTATGTCTATACGAGAAATATATTGTTTGACATTATATTATCTATCATTATTAGAAATATTAATCATAATTAGTTTGTGCCTGTCCGCTTTTATTATACAAAAATACTTGTGTGCTAAATACAACTTTATTTAAAAACATACAGACTGTAGAAACATATTTCATGAACGTATGACATTATCTTCTGCATCTATTGGCTACATCTCTTCAGAACGTGTGCGATCATAGCTAACCACATTTTTCTATATTATGTATCTCTTAATAATATTTGTCATTTTACTATCCCTCTCTCTTACTGTTTAGCGATCCATTCACTAAAGATCGTTAGCTGAGGTAGTAGCTGTTTATATTTGTTACTTTTGCCTTCATTATGTTCTGCGATTGTCAAATTTTCCAAACTTCATTTCGTCATTGTTTTTTTCTTCTGAATGCATTACATTCTGTGACTCTTATCAGACTTTCAGCATTTTTTACAAAAAATTACTCCTTCGAATTTAACGCTAAAGAATTTTATTGCTTCCTAGATATCTCCTTTCGTTGAACATTTATATTCTCAGTTTTCTTTCAGTTGCATTCTTAAAATCGGTTTCTCTTTTTTATTGTTTAAGGATCTCTGTTCAAATCTTTATTCCATACTTGTGCTCAATAATTTTACAATATTTTGTTTCGCTGTCATTTCAATATTTCTCATGATTCATAGCAATCTTTCTATATCTGAAAACAAGAAAATAATCTAAGCTCGACATTTCAAAATCTTATAACGAAGACAAGCATTAATATTTATTTCACCCGTACGGCGAGATGATATTAAGAAAACGAGAACAGCCACGAGAAATTATGGGTGAACATAAAAAAGCTATGTGAAGGACATTGTATTGATGGCAGACTCAGGAGGAAAACTGAAAGAGAACTTAGGCAAGGTAGTAAAAGAAAGCAAGAAAAAAATTGTTACCTGCAAGAAGACAATGAATGTCTGTCAGCAAAAGCGAAGTGATCTATGTTTTTGGGACGTAATTATCAAGTTATAAAACTTTAATTATCCGGGTAGTGTAGTAACAGACGATGGAAAGTTTTACAAAGGAAACCGAAGGCACACGGGAATAGCGGAAGTGGACTTCTAGAATCTAAGTAAAGTATTAAGATATAAGAAGCTGTTGTGATAACAAAGAAGAGTACTGAATTACAACTAATTTCATAGATGGTAGTTCATATACGACATCATCCTCAAAGGTGTAGAAGTCATCTAAAGCGATAGATGCAGTTCGATTGATAAATATTGATTATACCCTAAATGAGAATATGTCAGCTAGAAAGTTCAGAAAAAATAGGAATTATATAGAAATTCGTAATTCTTCTTTTATGTGCCGTATCCATTGAGAATGTACGCGATGATAGCCCTCCACATCTTCCTTTCCTTTGCAGCTGTTGATAAGTTTTGTCTTTATTTTTATTTCTCCTAAACCATGTTCGTTTATCCATTTGCTCAACCCTATGAAGTATGTTACGCGCTGTTTTTCCTCTTTCCCTGAGTGTGGCCTGTGAGTATCAGATTTTCCAAGCCATAATTCCTGATTATATTCCCCAGAAATGCTTCTTCCTGATGTTAATTATGAGTTACCTTTTACGTTTCCATTTTCTCCAATACCTCGCTGATGTTCTCATGTTCGATCCATGGTATCCTCAGCATCATTCAGTAGAATCAGTCTACGGGAATTGACACCTCGCCCGGTAAGGAGCGACATATCCAACTGATACTAACAATCAGAAAAGGCTGAAATGTTCAGAACATATAAATAATGTAATATTCTCATGGCATATTTAGAGCAAGAGGATACGTAAAGATTTTTTTTTTTACTATTTTATCCCTCCATAAAAGGTCTAAATGCCACTACGCTTAGTAGATATGTCAGATAGATAAATATTTAGCCTCGTCTTGAAGAGGTTAATATTGTAATGATTAGGAAAGAGAGTTCATTCCACATTGCGATAGTTCTAACAAAGACGGTGACTCAATGAAACTTACTGCTTATCAGTGGAATATCAAGGGAACGAAGGTGAGTCGATTCACTTTAGGTGGCCAGGTAGGTCCTAGATGTGAAGGTCTGAACTGGTGGAATGTAGAAATATAGTTCAACCGAACAACTGTCATGAAAATCATGAATTACGTAATCGACGAGTTTGTGCGAATGGATTCCAGAACAAAGACGAAGAGGAACGCTAAAGAAACTTTTAAAAAATACTAACAACAAAATACAGAAGATTGTAGAGCACCAGGATCATTCATATCCTGAAAGAACATGGCATATAAAAGAAGTTGTCTTAACAGCTAATGATTTCGGCAATCCAATCTGTAATTATTATATGACTTACGCAGACAGTAGCAGGTCAAATATTGTTAGAAACCTATTCACCTTTGACAGATTCTTTCAACTAGCTAAACACTCGAATGTGAGTCACATGCAGTCATTAACAACGCCGCTGTAGGAATAATATGGCACAACGAACCAGATAATTAGTGTACACTAATAGTGTGTTGTTCTAAGTTTTCATTGATTTTTCTGATCTCCGATAATAGTAATTAATTACGTGTTCGCTTAATTATATTAGGGTCAATTTCAAGTTGATATATAACAGATGTGTATCAAATACTTCAGGCATGTTGATTATATCGAGAAACTTAGTGATCAATTTTTTGGATGGCTCTTCCCAAGAGAACGGGTTTCTTTTATTCAAATCCTTCTAAATCCAGTCAGCTTCTCAAAGTCAATATCACACACACACACACACACACACACACACACACACACACACACACACACACACACATATATATATATATATATATATATATATATATATATATATATATATATATATATATAAATATCATAATAATTTTCTCAAGCTATGCAATAATAGAATAAATGTATTGTGTCGGTAAAATATTTCATTCTCTTATTTTAATTGACCAAATAACATGGAAAAACAAGCCGACGCCCAACAATTTCCTATTCGTTTAAGAAACGATTCGATTTGACTCGTCAGGGTTCGTAGTGCTCGTGTGTCGGATTAGATTTGTGATTATCGCACGTTGTAAATCAGTCGGAGCGTGTCGTCTCGAAGTATATCAAGGGTCAACCTTCCATGAAGCCGTCCTCCTGTAAAATCAAATACATCTCGAAGCCAATTTCGCCGTAATCGTGTTAGTCAGCAAAACCTAATCTAATATTGGCTGTTATGTTTAGCTACTTGTAATCGAGGTGCGTACGCGGCACATCTCATTTTCTTCTCACCGCCACCTTGAGATCTGATCGAATGGATGAAGGGTGGGAAGTTCCGCGGCGAAGGCGTCTCTATCAATGACTACAGGTAATCAATAACACAAAATGTAAAGTAGAGCTCAACCTAGGTGGCGCCAATCAAGTCTTGTATTCTCCCTTGATTTGCTCCTATCTCTCTCTCTCTCTCTCTCTCTCTCTCTATCTATCTATCTATCTGCCTGTCTATTTGTCTGTTTGTTTCTCACTTTTCTCTATATATATATATATATATATATATATATATATATGTTTCTGTGCGTATATATATATATGCACACACACACACATATATATATATATATATATATATATATATATAGATATACTTGTCTGTCTATCTATATCTATTTATCTATGAAGAGTCATGAATAATTTCCGTTTTTATCAACGTCATTATGCAAAGAAAAGAAACTCCTATTACATTTTACTCCATTATATACTCCCCATTATGTTTAATGACTTTATGATACTTATCAAGCAGTTCTTTGATAACATTTTTAGTAAAATTCCGTAGGTTCTGATGTGAAGACGACATATTCAACACATTTTATATTTGATAAATTTAGGTATTTTCTTTACTGTTCCACCCATATTCCATAATCGCCAAGCATGTGACGCATGCTCATTAACCATATTGACCCTAGCGCCATAACAATTCCGCATTTACTTCACCTTCATTGGCCAGTTGACTAGTTCATAAACATTTGGGGATAAGACGGTTGTAATCTTCTTCTCTCTAAATAAATGAACGGAAAATTCTCTTTGACCGTCCGTGTCTTTGAAAGCCTCTGTCTAGGGACACATTTGCTCTATATAAACATATTTTACCCTTTCGGAACCTGGATGCTCTGAGATTGAAAACCTGATGATTGACTATCCAGAATTTTGATGTATCTCTGGATGAGGGAACAGTTAAAAATTAAAATTTTAAAATAATTGAAAAAAAAAATAGTGATTAGTTTTTATTTATATTGAGTTTAAAGTTACAGAAAAACTTTGTGAATTTGAATTTTTTGTTTTAAATTCAGATTAAAAATTCTCCAAAACTTTGAATTAAGGAAATGTTTTTTTCTCTAAAATGCTAAAGAATTAACGCGAGAGGTTTCGTGGCGTAAGGTTTTGAAGTTCTACAGAGTTTGTAATTTGAGGAACTGAATATTTCGCCTGAACCGGAGTTTCGGTCCAAATTGGTCTTTTAGTCGGAATTAGATTGATCAACCAAATCAGAATTAAAATGAGATTTTGAACTTCCATGGAGTGAATTGAGGAATTCAATGTTATTTTTCAAAATTATCATTACTATGTTGGACGATAGATCCATTTACTCCTGTGTCACAGGCCCAAATTAACCATCCACAGGCGGTAGTTTAAACGTCCGTTAGAAATGCTGGTTTTAACCTGGTAGTAAAAATTTACCAATGTTTTCCTCAGTCAAAAGCGTTTTGTATTGATCGAAATAGGCAATAATCGGTTGGTGCATGGTCAGTGAATATGGCGATTTGAGTAAAAAGACTAACAGTTCCGTATTTTTCCCGTGTTATCCTTGATGTTATCCTCGATCTATCTATCTATCTATCTATCTATCTATCTATCTATCTATCTATCTATCTATCTAGTGGAGTCATGAATAATTTCCGTTTTTGATCAACGTTATAATGCAAAGAAAAAGAAACTACTTTTACATTTATCAATTATGCATAAGCTAATGTATATTAGTGTACTACAAATTTACTCTTAACGGCAACATTGATTATTAATTTGGAAGATAACTTCATTAGAATTGGTTTCCCAAAATGTAAATTACATATCGCTTAGCTTAATATTTTATCACTTTCTTAGCATATCTGTGTCTGGCACATGGCATCAGAAGTATTTTATTTATGTTGTACATCGTTTGTTAAACTAATATCGTAAGTACCCAAGCTCTATCTAAACTTATTTCCGGTCTCATTCTGTTACTATTTCAGCAAATGAGATAGAACTCAAATTACATAGAACGTAATATCGAAAAATTACTTGCCTTAACACTTTGTTTTCGCCGTCTCCTTCAAAGCGGTTTTCTTAAGAGCCAATGCGTTGGTTTTTCAAATGAAACGTTATATCTTCGTAGTATATTCCGTTTTTGTGCAATGTACCCCACCCCAACACGCACAGTTTTGTGGAACATCTCGTATCAAGATCAGTCGTGTAGATGGATACGTTTGTATTTTATAATACGATATTAATATGTGACTATTACATGCATTATTACTGGTTATAGTTAAGTAAAACATCAGTTTTATCAAAGTCATGTTTATTTTTAATACAGCTGTACGTTTTGACTACAGTAAATTGATATATAGTTGGAACAACGGCGTAGCCAGGGCCAGCAATATATACGCTAATTTTACATCTCGTGTATGATACGACCCCCTTAAAATTTGCTTCAAAATTAGGTCTTCAAATGTCGTATGATACGCGAGTATATATGTTATTTGATAAGTTTAAATGATTACAGTACAAGATTACATTATTATATCACCAAGGGAAATTCGAATGAATTAGTATTGTGAATCAAAACAATATTTCCAAACGTTACACTACGGTTAGTGTTCATGTTTTCCATCTATAACATTTCTTACATTCACAATCATCTTTGCATGTCTGTGTGATAGAATTGTAAATATAGTTTTTATCTGGATATTATATTCTTAATTAATAAATTGATAAATACTGTTGATAAAATTACAGAATTCGTATGACGGAATGTGCGGGTGATATGAAGTAAAACGCTTTGAGATGTGAAATTATAGACCCTAGTTCTATATCCAGTTGAACTGGTTACATTCACATGCGTAATAACACTTGTGTAGAGGGATGTTACATTTGCTCTCGGCTATGGTTTAAATAACTGGACAGAGTAGATCCTATAGCATTGTTTGCCGACTCATATACCATAAAGAAACAGCAAACAATTGCGGGATATTTGTAGCCAAATCCTACAGCAATTGAAATGATACATGGGACTTAATGAAGGAATGCAAAATAGAATTTGGCATAATTTCATTTTTTGAACTTTGCGGACAACACACACACACACAAATATATATGTATGTCTATATATATACATATGTGTGGGATCAATTTCTGTCAGTATTCAAAATATTAGCAATTCCTTTTTCCAGATAGGTACTTGTATTGATACTGTTTAATCCGTAGCTGAGGAAGTTTGTGCGTAAGTCAATGTTACAAACCCGTCTGGAATTCGAACTCTTTCTTATTTCTCATTTCTTGCTGCTATCTATTACACCACCTGCACATCCACATCTTAGAGTAGATTCAAATACTCTTGATACAGTTTGCCGTCTTATCATTCTATGTGAACGATTAAACTTTCACATTTGATTCTATAACAAAAGCTCACATACACGTTAACAATACTTGTTGCTTTTGTTAATCCTGTAGAATACACTTTCACAACCTCCCTATGCTAGAGAGTTAAGATTAAATGAACTTACTTAATTTCCTAAATGACTAAGATATTTAGCGTGTAAATTAGATACTGCCATTATTGCAGATAAATAATGTTTTGCTTGTGAGAAAAAAAAAGAAAGGGAAAGATCTATCACAGACACTTTTTACATAATGCTTAGAAAGAAATAACACTTATTTTGATAGCTATAAGAATTGTTGAACATTTATTTTGAGACAAAGTGTCATTATTAAAATAATAATGAAATAAATTCATTATATTAAATTATACGTTGGGATATTTCAGATTCTTTTTTTAACCGTGAGAAAAGACGATAGCAAAAGAAGTCAGACATGTTGTCAGCTTTCATAAAACGAAAGAAAGCATACATAATAGAAAGAAAGAATCTTGAGGTAGAGATAGCGTTTATCAGGTGCCTAAAAACTAGGGAATAAAAATAACCGAAGTGAGATGAAAGATAGAAATTGGTTGGACATTTTCATCTTTTATGAATTTACAATCGTAACGTATATTTTTCAGTATTATTCACGTTTCCTTGATAATTATCCTCCGTTAATAAAATATATTGTAAGTGATAGTCTGGATTCAGAAATAAAACTGCAAACAATAATAAAAACAATTATTTTTTTAATATTTTGTAAAAGTTCTAAATTTTCGATATGTTAATGGAATTTCTATTGTTATTTTATAGTCCTTAAAATCGTATCCAATATTTAAATTAAAAAGCTAATACTCCTGATAAAATCCAGATCTGGAAATCCCTGAAAATTTCACGGGTTCTACTCGTGGAATATTAATACGAATGCTATTAAAGATCAAACAGAATATTTCGTTTATTATAAATCCTTTTGTCTTGTTTCTGTATTAGCGAAAGTGGGTCTGTGGTTTGTGTATGTACAAATTGTTCAATAATTTTTTATAGGAATTTTGCTTATTTCTTTAGTTATGATCATAATCTCATACGTTATTATTAGGAGAACAACATTAATTATAGACACTAGCTATCTGAGAAAATTCTCTTATAACGAGCACATTGTTGTTAGACTTTCTTCCTAATATTATACGCCTAAAAATTATTGACATTTTTTATTATAATATGGAATGTTAATCGCATATAATGGCGTCGTATATTTGAAAACAATTATTAAAATAGAGACTTCAAAGCTGAAAAAATCCAAACAAAGTACACTAACTTGGAATGTATTCATTTATAGCTATCGTGTGACTTCCAAACTCTCAGTAAAAAAATGATTTCAGATATGTCGTGCGAGTACCTTTTTTTTTGAGAGACCAAATCACAATAGACTAACATCTTTTCCTCTATATCGTTATGCTATTCTCTAATTAAATAAGGCAAAAAGTAAAAGAAAATGATAAAAGTATCGTTAGTAAAGCTTTGAAAGTATAGACGGTAGTTTCGATCAGCTAAATATCATATAAACGTAAACAATGAAAAGATAGACAGCATAATTATCAACTTGTTGCAAATGTTACGTACTGATTTTACCATCCTTTCAATAATTCCTATTTAACCGTATCCATTTTATTACGATATAAATATGACCGCCAATATAGAAAATTTGAAATGTAAATATTTATTTTGATAGTGGTTAAACCTAAAACCTCCGATAGATGTTAATGGAGAAAAGAATGAAGAAAGAATGAAACATCAAGTGCAGGAAGAGAGAATGCAGGGTTGCTTGCAAAATGGTGAGCCCAAAGTGCCAATTGCAAATCGTAGATACTAAAATCAAACAAATGCGGAAAAATTCCAATATCTGTGAAGAATTTTAACTGAGGATGGAAAGTGTGACACTGAAATCTGAAAGTGTATTGGAATAGCTAAAAAAAAGTATTCCAAAACCTAAACAGTGTACTAAAAAATAACTTCGCTAGAAACAAGGAAAGTAACACTAAACTGTTACATGATACCTGCAACCATTTATGGCAATCAGTGATGGACAATCTCCTCAAAGATGAAGAAGAGACTTGAACCAACAGAAATGTATTTCTACAGAAAGATGCTGAAGATACCATGGACCGAATATGTGGGCAAATAAAATGGAAACGAAAAGGAATCTTATACTTAACGCCAGGAAGGTACATTTGAGGTTTCTAGGGCATATAACGAGGAAGGAGGGCTTGGAAAATCTGTAACTCACGGGACAGATAGGGCATGTGGGAGATAGAAAAAACAACGCATAATATGCTTAGCGAACTAGAGTAAATGAAGGATGGAATAGGGTTTAGGAGAAATAACAGAAAGACAAAGTTTATTAAGAGCTACAAGAGACAAGACGTTGCGGAGGGCCATAATCGCCTACGTTCTGAGTGGACACTGCACATAGAGAAATGGTTTGTCCTTCAATTTGATTAAACCGAATTGCATTTTTTAACGGACTCCCTTCTATTTGTTCGTACGTAGCTGAAAAATATCTATTCTTCGCCTTTCAATGCTTCACTTGCCGTTGAAGATTTACCTTTCTCGGTGACTTTCTATTAATAAGTCGACTACAACTAAGCGCAAAAACTGCTCGGGATTCAATTCTGGCCATAATTTATTATCGAAATCAGATCTTAGATTTTATGAGAGCGGATTTCGGCGAATTAAAATGAATACCCCTTTCTTATATATCGACAATTCTGACAAGGCCAGATCTTACGGGACAATAGCTAACTTTCTTGCTTCATGTCTTTTTTCATAATGTTATGTCTAATCCATGTATATGTTAGAATAAATAAACAAAAAAAAAAAGTGTAATTTATTTTTTTTTCTTTTCTTCAAACAAATGAAGTTTTCAATAATTTGGGTATAAGTCGAAAATACCTTAAAGACAAATTATTATTGCCGGCGTTTCTCGTGTTTAAAACTGAACCTAATGCTTCGAGATAAAGATGGTTAGATCCGCACGCAATCATAAAAGGACAACGCGTTGAGAAGGTAAACATTTCGAAAAGATATACTCGAAATAAGAAAGAATGAAATACATTCAATAAATTCTATAGCATCGATTTTATTTCTCCTTTATTTCATCCAATCCAAAAAATAATGGCACAACAGCTTTTCACGTTTAATATGGAATGTATCACAAAAGGCAAGCCGTTTCTAGAATGTCGATTGCTTCGTTTTTATCTATCGTCGAGGTAATCAAGTCGGAGAAATT